GTGTGTGTGTGTGTGTGTGTGTGTGTGTGTGTGTGTGTGTGTGTGTGCGCGCGCGCGCGCGCGCGTTTCTGTGTGTGTGGTGTGTGTGCGCGCGCGTTTCTGTGTGTGTGGTGTGTGTGTATGTGTGTGTTCTACGCCACTGTTAGCCGCGTGTGAAGTGCCCTGCAGTAAAGATTCTAGCTGTAGACGCCAAGGACACAACTAAACGTTCCATCATGAACAATGTGGTTTACAGAGAAGTTCTGACCATTTAACAGGCATGGACTATAGTAATTATAAGCCTCAAATTTGCAATTAACTAAAGAGGAAGGGAGAGAATTTCAGTACGGAATCACAGAAACACCGAAGCTAAACAAGTGATCCTTTGAAGATGGCACGTGTGGAAAGCAACGATCACGCTCAGATGATTGAGTGCTACGAATAGGCTTCATCAAGCACGAGGGAATGCCAATCATCACCTCACCATGATAAATTTTATGAAAGGTTATAAGTTTAGCATGGAGAAAGCGGACACGAAGCGGCGAGCAATCAAGTTAATTGAGCCAAAACGACTTCAGAACTGTCTTCGTCCCTCTTTGGTTAATTCCAAAATAAATAGCATTTTCTACACCGATCCACAATGTTGATCAGCCTATTTAATAAACGTTGTCTCTCCCCATCTGCAATATAGTCTCTTTGACTTTGAAGATTAATCTTTATGAGGCTATGAGGTGTGATATAATTTGGGGCGAAAATTATACAGTTTCCACGCCAGCATATATGGCGGCCACAGTTATTATTTATTTATTATTTATTTTATTCATGTATACATTCATTATATATAGGATACATTGGTAAAAGGTATATCATAGATATAGAATAGAAAACATAACTTCAAATGTTTTTAACGTTGAAGTCCATGCAGGGGGGAACAGGGGCGGTCGCCCCCTAGAATTTTCCGGGCAAGGGTATATTATAGCCCAACACCCTCCTCCCTCGGGCGCTTCGTGCCCTTGAGCTCGCATGATTCCCTCCCTTAAAATTCACTTCTGGATCCGCCACTGCGTTGGATCTTGCAAAGTAAGCCTATTGTAAACAACTCGTAATTGTTGATGGTAGGTGCAAAATTACACAATGTAAATTACCAACGGTTAAATATATTCGTCATATTTAGAACACC